TTTGGAGCCGGTGTCCAGTCCATTGGATCATACGCCCTTTGGACGGAGTCAAACTTCTCATCTGCACCGAGATATCGTGAAAGCCCTGTCGAATCCCCGGTTAATCGTAAGACTATTTTCATCCATCTCAGAGAAAAAAATCTTGCACTAGTTTTTCTCTCATTTACTAATGTATAGAATTTCTTATGTTGTCTTTTTGTTGTTCGCAACTGGTTTTATCTACCCACTGTAAAAATCGTAAATTGCTGAATATTCACCCTTCGGGTGCATAAAGCGTTTCTTGACTTAACCTGCAGTCTCTCTGCTACTGCAAATAATACCAGGCTCTCACGCGTTTCCTTGTATCCAATGAACTTACTTTGCTCTTCTGATTCAGTATGAGTTGGATCTTATTTTATAGGCTCCAAGAGAGGATGAAACACCATGACCACGAAACTCGGTCATATAGATCGCGTTACTCTTCCGGGATGAGGACCTTGGGATCATTGTACCGATAGTTAAAAACACTGAGCGATGCGATTGAATGTCTTACACTGCGGAGCTTGTACATCTACTTAATGTACTTGCAACCTTAGTCCTCCAGAATTTTCTGTTTTCACCTTGGCACTACTTTCAACTTTCCATTCTTCCCTATCCTCCTTTATCTTCGATGGGCGGTGGTGGCCTGGTGGTAAAGTCCCCAATTATCACCCCGGAGGACGTATGCTCGACTCTCACCGCCATCGCTTGTCTCTCCCCATTACGGCAGCCTTTTGACTGGCCGCTTCCTCCTTCCTGAAAGTTGTACATTTGTAAATTCAATAAAAAAATGAAAAATGAACCCAAATGGGCAGTCAAAACATGGTAATCAAAACCGCAACACGACAATGTATGGTTCGTATTTGTTCACATTGAATTCAATTGAAAGTTCACCGACGTAAGAGTTCTGGTCCTTGATCCCCTACTGTCAGGGCAGCTTATTGCTCTGCTTCTTCAGATTCGATGGTATTATCAAGAAGAAAAGTCTATGATGGCATTTCGGTAATCCATTGCTAAGGTTACAAACCACGCTGCGGTTAAAAATTCTTTGAGTTTTTTAATCAAATATGGTCTTTATAGCGATTGCTAACTAAAAGCACCAGACAGCTGTTTATTCCTTTTTGGGACGGGTCTGCAGGACGTACTTTCTGTGCTAGCTGGGAAGCGAGCCATGCTCATCCAACCATAGACTTCTAAAGAGTCACTCGCTCAAGGTGTTGACCGTCGACTATGTGGCCAAGAGGGTAAGTGCTTAAACTCCCAACCCAAATGCTCGCATTTTGGGTCCTGGCTGGGACGTAAAGAGTATACTTTGCTGACGAGTTCCACAACGAGACTGAAACAACTGTTCGATGCTCTTTGCCACCGTTTATACACATTCTCCTGTAAACTGATTTGAATAAATGATTAATTCGTCAGCTGTTTCAAACTTGTTCGGTCTTATCAGTAATGCGAATCTATTGACCCAACTGGGGATCGAACCCGAGGCCTCACAGGTAGAACGCAAGCATGCTATCCACTCGTCCTCCGGTTAGCTGATAAAACCGTTTTTAATTTGGAATATACATGATACAGCACAACCCATCTTCATGAGCTTGTCGATAAATTTGCACTGCTGATGAAACCGGATCAGGTCGAAACAGCTGTCCAGTGCTTCCCAGCTTTTCTTAGCCCACGCCTCATTTACACGACGAATCGATCATTTAACAAATCAACTCTTCCGTTATTCTCAAACTGGTTTGAGTCTTGTTGTCTGTCACACCCTGCAACTATGGTTGTGCAAAACTAGGGTTTTGTTGATAATAATACAAGAAGAAAGTAGAAGTCGGTGTGGTCACCGCTTTCTGAGACTCATCTGTTCACCGCAGTCGAGAAAAATTTCACTACAACTATGTGCGGTGCAGTAGTTGGAGAACAACACGTCTGGACATGAAAAGTGATGTTAATGTGCTCATTGTGTCCACCGTTTCTCATCTTGTTTCACTTTACTTCGCGCAGACATTGACGAATGCAAAACTTTAGAACAGCCGTGCGGACCGGATGAACTATGCATGAATTTCCATGGTAATTACACGTGCATCAAAAAAGACTGTCCGCAGGACTATGCATTTGACCAGAAGAGCCGGTGAGTTGTTCCATACTAGAATGTCCATTGTTTGTCGGTGCGAATTTGGCTATTCAAACAATCAATACGGAGGCCTAGCACCATCCTCGCACACCTAGTAGTAGACACCAGTCCACCACATAGACTGCAATCAAGCCTCGATCATTCATGCGTATCGGACACTCGGGTGATCCAAAGTTAAAGAGAGTAATAACTTGAACGAACTAACCGTGGGAGCCGAGGGGAAGCGCAGTTCCAGTTTAGGCATTCTATAAAACTAAGAGGGTCACGCCAGCTATCCAGCGATGTCCGGAAACGGGCGTTTGTGGTGGATGTTAGCCGTGTGTGACACAGAGGTAGTGAGATTGTTTGCACCGTTTATTATAAAAGGATCATTCTTCCCCAATTTGGTGGCACTGAAATGAGTACAATTCCCACCAGTTGCAGTCTTTCTGTATGACCGTTAGATTGTAGTCATTGCATAATTTTGGTTCTTACGTTCGAATGCCTCCTTGTCTAAATTTGGTAATAAAGTTGAAATGTGTATTGTGTGTGTTTGGTCAAATGTGACAGATAGAAAACGTAAAGACAATACCATTTCAAACAGATCGTCGATACAGTTGACTAATTCAACCGACTTTAAAGTTCCCGCAATATGCCAGCGACATGCAGATTGAAAGGATACATACGGAAAAACCGACAGACTATTTGTTTCGTGTTTCCATTTTTCCATACCAAAAGGTGTTACGTATGAAGATTTAATGTATCAGTCGGTTGATGAATCAGCCAAATTAAGCTTGTTAGTTGAACTGAGTTTTGGAGTTCTCGGTGCCAATTACGTTTCACCGCATTATCGTCAGCGGCCTAGACCTCTGTTGAGAATGCTAGCTCAGAGGCAATTACCATGCGCTGCGCGTGGATGGATAATCTGACCGGAATTTCACATAGCGAAGGGGAATGAGAAAAATCTGTGTGCGTTTGTAGGTTCATTCCAACCCTCGGTTTGGAGTGCAAAAATAATCTTAAATGTTTTGATTAGAAACCCTGATGAACACGGAGCGTGACCAGGCGCATGGTTGGTGCATGGTTGTTCAAACTCGCCCTTTCCCCAAGCTCAACGAAAAAAACTCGCCTAAAATGCAATCAAAACAGGTTTTTGTTTTATTTCGGCCTATAAGCACTGCAGTTCTTATTTGTGCACATTCCTTACACGAATGAATGACTCAAAGGCTCGTTTATGTATTCAGATAAAGTCAATCATGTTTATGGAATGCCCAAAGATTAGCTGTTCGTAAGTGAACTGCCAGAACGGCTGCGGTGGCTGCCCCCATATCCATCATTTTCATAAGCACTCAAAACAAGGCCCTTTGTTCTTTTTGATGAGCGGTGATCCATTGGAATGTGAGGGAAAGCCCAGAAAATGTCAAATGTACCCGAATCAAACAATCCAGTGCAACCAAGGTTAGCTACCGAAGCCTTTCATGTCTATCAATCCTTGGACACATACATTTAAGGGTTTTCACTACCTCACACATGTGGGACCTTGAATGATGCGTTCTACAACCTGAATTATCGAACATGGCGTTATCTCCCATGCATCCAGACAGTTGACTCATTTACATATTGCGCAAGAATCTGTGCCAGCCCAGTTGCTGCATGTCGGAGATTAACTCGCAGTCGTTCTCTCTGCTGCGTCCATTCGTTTGGTTTCTTCATATGAATCATACCGTCGGGATCTACTCGGTATTGGGCAATAGAGTACGGAATAAAAACTTTCCATTGTGGTTCAGCTGTACTTTGCTTCGGCGAAACTGTGACTGATAGCCATTCATGATTTATTTTCCCCCATCGATAAGAGGTCAAAACGAATCGGCCTACTTTCAACAGATGTGCAAATGCTTCAGCGGGTTGTGGTTGTTACCAACCAACCCCCCGTAGTCACCATGCCACTCCGGTTTATCACTGACTTGGTAACAAACTCGTAACGGACTCCGTTTCTTGACAAAGTAATGTGTCGTTTTATTGCTCAAGGAACTATCCACGTCCTAAATTAATTTTTGGACATTTGCCATTGATGCTGTGGTATTTTCATTTATAATTGGGTTCTCTTAATGTGAAAGAGGTTGAGTAAAATGGCAATACCGGCCATGTTTACTGTTGACAAAATATTGAAATTTGGTTCTCGTAGCTCGGGTTAACTGAGTTCCATTGCGCCTGTTCACCGAGCTTGGCAATTTGTTTGCAAACGTTTTATCACTAGCCGAGGTGACATCATCAGTGCCACTTCACAAGCACTGATGATGATGATGTCAACTCGGCTGGTGATGAATCGTTTGCAAACAAATTGCCAAGTTCGGCGAACAGGCGGAATGGGACCATGTTTAATGTTGATAGATGGAACAGGATGAAACGGTAACCAGCGCAAGCTCCATCGCGTGGACAGACAGATAAGACGTGATAACCGCTTTCCAAGTCAACAGGTTAGAAAAACACTTTTGATCATATCTTTCATTTTGGTGCCAACATCGGATGGTTAATGGGATATGGGACTTCATTTGCAATTGAGTTTGATCGTACTGAAATATTGTCAGATTTTGCACCATATTTCAGTGTTGTCCCCTCAACGTCTTCGTACAGTTTCAAATGTTCGAAATTGGCTTAAGTAGAAGCTCGTGGAAAAGAAATCACGAAACCTCAAGTTCTGTTATTTCTTTGTACCACTTCCAATTCGGTTCATCGATTGTGTCCCTAAGAATTTAGGGTTAATTCTTCCTTAGTTGGAATGAGGTTTAAAGTTTTATTGTTATTCAATAACTGATATTCTATCCGCACGCTTTCCCTCACCACTATCACCCCCGTTCGCACATCGCCATTCATCATGAACATCATCAGATCATGTCGTGTTCGATGTGCCGATTCCACTTTGCCATGTCCTCAAGGGGCTCAGTACGCAGACACCGTGGAATATTTGATTGTCAGTTTACCTCCACCCTCACACGGGCGTGTATCCGGATCGCGTGTCAAATTGCGTGTGGTAGATTGGAACCAGGTGAGTCAAGCGCTGTTCTGTTCTCTTTCGCTATTCTGGACGACGAGTATAAGAAGTGCTGAAATCAAAACAATTTATCATTCGTTCAGAGTTTTGTCATGTAAGTATCTTTCAACAGACAGAGATCAACATTTGCTCAACGATGGAGAAGGGATAGATTGAAAACGTTTGAGAATAATTAACTACAGAAGCATTTGATTAATAAGATAGTCCCTAGTCTGCACAAAATACTGCCTTGTGAAAAGCTCGCAGAAGTATTTTCCTCAAACCCAAGAACTCCGGTTATCATGATACGTTCTCCTTCTCTAACGTTTATCTTCCTCGACCGAAATTGCCTGTCGTACAATGATGATGATGATGATAATGATGATGATGATGATGACGATGATGATGATGATGATGACGATGATGATGATGATGATGATGGTGAAAGGTGACTTTTTTTAACTATACTTGAAATGACTATAACATTCGTGAACACAACAAGACGGAAGCACTCTTTGAGGCACTCCGTTTTGAGATTGCGTATGTGAAGGAAGATCAGTATGCAATGAACTGATAAGCGAATTCTCCTCGTTTGACTTTCTTTGTCTTATTGAGAATTAGAGTTTGCATAGATGGGTAACAAAAATGTGATTTAAATCAGTTTTCGCACGAAATATTTCTGATGCAAATCGCTAAGCATTCTGATTTCAACCCCGTCCCTATCGCTGTTCAGCAAAAAGTCTCATGTGTACGGTTTGCCGTGTATCTGTGTTATTTCGGTCCTCGGTTGTTTTCTATTCGCACCGAAAAGTGTCACATACAGTCGTGATCTTTCTGATCGTGCTCTAATTGTCACAGACAATTGCAATGCAGAGGAAAGGAAAGACATGTGGGAATGGCATTTGAACAGCAACTCTGGCCGAATGGTAAGGCCACCGGTGTTTGTGACATACAGACGTTCGCACAAGCTTTGCAGAATTCATTGAGAGAATTTTTTATCCGTATACGCATAAATGCATTCACAAACTCGAGCGCACGCGCATACACGCACACACGTTATTCAAACAAACATTCGACCCAGTGAAATTGGATCACCATTCCTTTTCGAAGAGGTTCCTTCCTAAAATTTTTTCTTCCTGATTAGGGAAAATATGATATTGATCGAGGTTTGCTGTTTCCTCTCGATTTTCAAAAACGTGTATACAATAGCTGAATTTGAAGACAGTTTTGTTCTCAATGCCAAATAGTCACCAGCAGCAAACATTCATGATGTTGTGTAGCGTTGGAAGTGGGAGGTCAACATAAATTGTCGAACACCATGCTGTTGTTTGATCACGTTCCAGCCTTTACAACAACGGGTCAGAAGTTTTGCAGAAAATTCAGTCGGTGTGTTCAGCGAACCAGCCCCCCAGACAGTCTATAGATGTTATCAAAAGATTACCATGGCAGATTATTGGGCACTATTTCCCTCAAGGCTGAAACACTCGGTCTGAGAGTTCAATCAATCATAGATTCAAGTGTGAAGGAAATTCTCCCCTATCCCTCCCCTCCCCGCCGGAAAAAGTCAGTGTAGAAAGCAAAGCGGGAACGGGATATAGTCCACCATAAAAGCCCGTCACGAAGACTGGTAATTGCGCGTGGTCGGTGAACCAAAATTGAGCATGATAAAGGGCTATTGAAGAGGAATGTTGTTTATACAAACATAGTTTTCAGCGTAAAATGTTTTATTTTAACTGACATCGAGATGATTAAATTCAAAAAATAAAGTAGAAAATGTTTGCCTAAACCACTACCTTTAGAAATCAACTTACTAAACCTGGAGAACATGATAAAGTCATTTTCTTTTATCATGTTAGAAAGTTTGGACGAGCGCGTTCTTATTTCCACTAGTACGGTGTGTTTATGGTTCTTTTGTAGTTGAATGAAATTATTATGTGGTGGACGAAAAAGAGTAGTCCTTGGTTGAACTCGACAGCAGTGCCTACTTCTTGTCCCCATTGGGGTTCGAACCACGAGTTTTTGGGTTGGGGGTAGAGACCTCTGAGCCAAACGGTCGGCTGCTCAATCAACATCAAACACTGTCACACTGAGTAATCTTCAGTAGCAATCCTTTTCCCATATTCAGAAGGTC